GCTCAGGGACAGCCCCAGGGGATGCGGGGACACCACCGGGGGGCCTCGGGGACAGCCCTGGGGGACTCGGGGACATCGTCGGGGGGCTTGGGGACAGCCCCGGGGGACTCGGTGGGATGCGGGGACAGGACCGGGAGGGCTCGGGGACACCGCTGGGGTACTCGGGGGCCTCGGGGACAGCCCTGGGGGTCTCGGGGACATCGTCGGGGAGCTCGGGGACAGCCCCGGCGGACTCGGGGACACCGCCGGGGGACTCGGGGACACCGCCGGGGGTTCGGGGACAGCCCCGGGGGACTCGGGGGAATGCGGGGACAGGACTGGGAGGGCTCGGGGACAGCCCCGGGGGACTCGGGAGCTCGGGGACATCGTCGGGGAGCTCGGGGACAGCCCCAGGGGGCTCGGGGACACCGCCGGGGGACTCGGGGACAGCCCCGGGGGACTCGGGGGATGCGGGGACAGGACCGGGAGGGCTCGGGGACAGCCCCGGGGGACTCGGGAGCTCGGGGACATCGTCGGGGAGCTCGGGGACAGCCCCGGGGGACGCGGGGACACCGCCGGGGGGCTCGGGGACACCGCCGGGAGGACCCGGGGACACCGCCGGGAGGACGCGGTGTCGCGGAGAGCGCGGAGGAAACACCGTAAATGGGATTTCGGGGACACCCTCAGCCGCCAATCCCCGGTGCCCCCCGGTTTCCCCCTCCGGGGGTGTCCGGCCCCCCCCCCTCCCGCCCCGCCCCGGTTCCCTTCCCCCCCTCCCCGCGCTCCGGGAGCCGCGGGCGACCGGGCCGGCCGAACCTTTGCCCATATATAGCCCCGGGCCGGGGCCGCCGCCGCCCGCCCGCCGCGCTCCGCCGCCTTATAAGGGCTCACGGCGGGGCCGGGGGGCTCCGGGGCCCCCCCGGGCCGCCGATCTCCCCCCTCCGTTAACCCTTAACGGGCCGGAACCCCCCCCCTCCCCGCTGTGTCCGGCATCTCCCGCCCCCCCGGCTCACCCCAAGCGCTCCCGTTAACCCTTAACGGGGCGGACACCGGCGGGACGCCCCCCGCAGCTC